TCACTATTGCCATTATCCGTTGCGCTTAGAAATACTCGAGGGTAACCACTCACAAGAGGTAACAGCAGTGAAGAACTCTCTCCGCGGCAAGTATCAGCACAAACTTCGACAGATCTGGTCATCGGAACTGTCGATGACAGACAGAACAAAATTTCTGCAACAAATATGCTTGCCGTTCCAATCCTACTCTACTCGTTTGGAGTAGTGAAGTGGACTCGGGAGGAGCTGTATCAACTCGACGTAAAGACCCTAAAAATGATGCATCTTCATAGGAGTTTGCATCCCAAATCGTCCGACTCACGGTTGTACTTCCCCCGACGACAGGGAGGCCATGGACTTTTGAGTTTGGAGTGTCTACATGACAGAATGATACTGGATACAGCCTGTAAAGTCGTCAGGAGTTCGGATCCCCTTCTCTGCATAATCCGTGACCATGAGAGAGCAAGAATTGGAGCATTTCTCTTCAGGGCAGCTGCCCGAGCAGCTGATGAACTCGGTATAGTTTTCGACACTGATCGAGGTGACCACAACTCTGTCACCGAGTTGGAACCCGTTCAGCAAAAAGCTCATATAAAAGCCGCAGAGATCACCTCACTTCTGTGAAAACACAAGAATGAGCCAATGCATGGGGTCTTCTTCAACAACATTGAATACCTTGGCTTATCAAAGCGCCTGACTGGGCTGAAGTCGGAAACAGAGGGGTTCATCATGGCTTGCCAGAATGGTGTCTTCAACACCTTAGTCTACCGCATTCGCGTGATGAGTATAGAGGTTCCTGACATAAGATGCAGGGCCTGCCGCGAGGTGCCCGAGACCCTAATGCACTTGCTATCAGCATGTCCAGCATATGCGGTCTCGGCACTTTTACGGTATTGACGAGACACCGGTGTTGCCCTACGCTCCGGGGGATATTGAATCCGTTGTGGGGAACGAGAAGTGCCGAATTTATTGAAACTATTCGTTCCCCACCCTCAGGCTCATACAAGCTAATAAGCGTGATATACTCCTTCTCAACCACCAGAGCAAGACGATATTTGTCATAGAGTTTTCAGCTCTTGGCGAGACGAATATTGTCCGAAAAGAGGAGAAAAAAACGATAAAACATCCACTATGTCAAGATGGTTGTTCTGATTATTGGAGTCCTTGGTGGAATGATGTCCTCTCTACGCTCGAATCTTAAAATCATACTGGCTTGCCGCACTAAGGAAGAAATCTTAGCCGGACAGATGTAGAAGGCTGTCATTCTTGGCTCGTTGCGCTTGCTTAGGGCACATGATTCTCGAACCCAATGATCACTTACCCCACAGTGTGGGGAATGGTCATTGGTTGATAATGCTGGCGCGCCCTTCCGAATGTATGAGGGCTTCGGGGGATGGGGCCTGACCAACGCACACCACGATGAAAAAAAAATAAACACAGCACAGTTATAAAAGTCATAGTAAGATGAAAATTTCGACATTAAAATAATTTATAGCATGACTAATACAGGTTGAAAATATCATCATGGCAGTAAAGTTTATATTGCACCCATCTTTCATTCAAATACACCGTATTGTGATAAGGAATATTTTAGACTCAACAACATTCAATAATGGTCCACTCGGTTTTTATTTATTGTAACTTTCGCAGTCTATTTGATGGGTAATTACATACGTAAATCTAGACGTAGTTTCAAATTGGGGTGGGAGTAACCAGGTTCAATTCAATGCCACAAAAACCCAGGGATCGGTTTTCTCCAAGAAGATAAATGTCTCCGAACTGGATGTAATAATGTCAGGACAGACAATTCAGCTTTCTGCTTCGATAAGTTTGTTGAGGGTTCAAATGGACAGCGATATGTCTTGTCACAATCATGTCGCTGGAATTGCAAAGGCTGCTTCCCAAAAGCTTGGAACACTGTTGCGAATCAGAAAACTGTACACACCTCAGCAACTTTTGATGCTTTTTATGGCTCAGTTCAGACCTTCTTCGAAGTATTGTTCTCATGTATGGAGCTCCACCCCCAAACATACCCTAAAGTTGCTGGATTCCATCTAGAAAAGAGTCATCCGCCTGATTGGAGACGCGAACGTCATGTACAACCTTGTTAGCCTGGGAGGAAGGGGAGATTTGTTTCTTTATAATTAAAATATATTAAACAACTGTCAATTTGGCTTTCAGAAAGCAAAAGACACAAATGATGCAATCTTTTCCTTTCTTGAACATGTCTACACACATCTCAACAATGGTGAAGTCGTAGCTGCAGTATTCTGCGATTTCTCCAAAGCTTTCGATTGTGTAAATCATGAATTTCTTTTGCAAACGTTGAACTTCTATGGCTTGAGAGGAGTGTGTAATGACTAGTTCAAGTCTTACTTAAGTGATAGAAAACAGTTAGTAAGATCAGACGAAAAACTATCACACACGAAGGATATCTTATGGCGCTACCACAAGGATCAGTACTAGACCTGATTATTCTCCTTATTTATGTAAATGACCTGGTGACTCTTTCAATTCAAGGAAGTTTTATCATCTTTGCGGAAGGCACCACGCTCCTTTGGCATAGAAAAAATAATTCTAGTATGAAAGAAACACTCTCTAGTGATTTAGAAGTTGTGAAAAAATGGTGTGACGCATATTACTTGTGCTTCAATATTAAAAAAACAAACCTACTCACCTTCAGCTGTAATATTAACAATGTATACTTGAATGGACAAATTCTTGAGGATAAAAAGCAATCCAAATTCCTAGGAATCTTCATGGATAACAAATTGAAATTTGATCAATATATTTCAGCTTTCAACAAAAAATTGGCATCAGGATGTTATGCACTTCGAATAGTTTCAAATGAACTGAGTTCATCCACATCAAAAGTGGTATATCATTCCCTGATTGAGTCCCATCTGGGATATGGTGTTGCCTTCTGGGGATTTTGCAGTCAACAACTTTTTCATTCAGTGTTTGTTTTGCAAAAGCGAGCGGTTAGATACTTATGCAAGGTGGGAGTACGTGAGTCATGCAGACCATTATTTTTGAGAGAAAAAATTNCTGCTGGAAATAGACAGTCAATGGAAATATACAAAAAACGAGAATTACGTCAAGAATTATATCAAAAATTGATTAATTTGAACAACAACACATCAGTTCGTTCAATTTCAGAATAAAAATTTGCAAAAAGGTATCATTGAAGTTTTTCAATGTATTTTCATACGATAAATGAGCATCCTGTGAGAAAATTCATAGTGAAAATCAGTTGAAAAAGAAATTAAGAAAGTTGAGTATTGGTTCAATTCCTTCAAATTCAAAATAAAAATTTGCAAATAGTTATCGTTCGATTTTCCCAATTAATTTTTCTGTTGGAAATAGGCAGTCAATGGAAATACACAAAAACGAGACTTACGCAAAGAATTATATCAAAAATTGATATACTCAACAACAACAACTCAGTTCATTCAGTTTCAAACTAAAAATTTGCAAATTTGCAATTTTTCCAATATATTTTTCTGCTGGAAATGAAGTATTCAGTAAAAAAAATAAAAGTTAGAATGACAAAAATCAAGAAAATTTAACAACAATAGTCCAGATTCTTCGATTTCGAAATTAAAAGTTGTAAAGAGTTATAGTTCACTTTTCTCAATATATTATCCTGCTGGAAATGAAATAAAATGAAAATTCGAAACAGTAGCAGAAGAATGACAAAAATCAACAAATTTCGAGATAAAAAGTTGCTAAAAGTTATAATTCAGTTTTCCAAATATATTATCCTGCTGAAAATAACGTATCCAGAAAAAAGATATAAATTAGAAACAGTAGGAGAAGAATGACAAAAATCAAGAAAATTCAACAACAATTTCGTAATAAAAAGTTGCAAAAAGTTGTTCAGTTCTCCCAATACCTTTTTCTGCTGGAAATGAAGCAACCAGTAAACAATTTAAATAACAAACAAATCGACAACATTAAAGAAACGAGTGAACCGCGAAGTAACAATATCCAAAAAAAGATCGAATTGTTTACCTGGCAGCATGGCAACAAAGAGAAAGGCAAACACCACCGACGGCACCATTCGGACGTTCCTCACCATCCTAGCACGAGTGAAAGATCATGACTTCCTTGAAGAACCTCCAGACTTGGCCGTCATGCCCCAGGAGGTGATGCGGACCGATCGCGTATCGTCTTCAAAACACGCCTCGACACTAGCTCAGCATTGCTGTTCTGGCCATTTTACGGGAGCATGATACTTGCTACTGCTGCTCCTGCTCAACCTCACTCATCTGGATGCAGAGTCGGTTCAGGATCGATAGGGATACGTTTGCGCGCGCTAGAGAAGTATTCTTCTCCCGGGTTCTTCTGCTATCACAGAGGCGTGCTTTATTAACGGCCGCACGAGGTATTGGTTTGAACGGCGTTTATGGACCGAAAGATACATTCCACGAGGTACAGCCCCTCCGCATGGTCGTTAACCAGCGGTCATACACTTCGGAAATATTGGCGGGACAGATCTGTGCATCGTGCAATGATGTGAGTCGCGTAATTTCGCTGTTGTCCAGTCGGTTTAGACATCGGAGAGTACAAAAATTCGCACCCAGCTCAAAGTTGGTAGGATTTCATCAGTTTGGACTTCTATTGTGTAATATGATTCTACTATGATTAGAAATCTATGAAAGAACAATTGAAACCTGTAATGAAAATACAATAAAAAATTTAATTAATTGAGTGCACGGGTTGGGTCTGACATACACAGCCTATTACGTTTGAGCGCTCCCCTCTTGAACTCGGCTCATATGATTGCCGTCTTCTACAGTACCTTCCTATCTTCAGCAGACCTTAATATCCTGAGAAGTTTGTTTCGCTTGGACTTTTACTTCCCGCTAATTCAGACCATCGGTGTATATCAGACAGAACCCGTGCCTTCATGGTAAGATTTTTTTCAAACTCATTTCGATGAAATGTATTGAAACGCTTATTTCACAGCTTTCATGATGAATGATCCCTACTAAAGAGAGATACGAGAGTTGCAATCTATGTTTGATGAAGTGTTGACTGACGAAGAAGTCAAATCTGATGATGATTCTGAGACGGATGATATGGAGATGTTGGAGGATAGAACAAACATTATAAGTACTCATGAAACAGATTCAGAACAGGAGCTGAGTATGGATGATGAAGAGGAAGAAATGATTGTAGATATGGATCAACGTCGTGGTATACATCGTCACCTGTCTTATTATGGAAAAACTGGTTTTCAATGGAATAAGTGCTGCTTTCCAAAGAATGTTCGAACTAGGCAACATAATCTGATAAAAAAGCTGCCAGGTGTTATTGGCGTTGCAAAAAACTCAAAAACTGCAATGGAAACTTGGAAGCTATTTTCTTCGGATAACATAGTACAGAAAATAGTTGAATATACCAATCAGTTCATTGAAAAAGTAGCTCATTCATATAAAGATAAATACGACGTACGTTACACAGATATAACGGAAATCAAAGCACTAATCGGCCTGTTATATTTAGCTGGTGTCCATAAAGGAGGTCGAACCACTATTTACGAATTATGGGCAACAGATGGTACTGGTCTGGAGATATTCCCAGCAGTTATGGCTAAAAGAAGATTCCGCTTTTTGATAAGATGGTTACACTTTGATGATGTCGATACACGTGAAGAGAGGAAAAAAACCGACAATCTTGCACCTATTAGGGAATTGTTTGAGGAAGTAAATGGAAAATTCAGAAATCATTACTCGCCAGGAGAATACGTCACGATTGATGAAATGCTATTAGCCTTCCGTGGCCGATGTGCCTTCCGAATGTACATACCTAATAAACCTGCAAGATATGGAATAAAAATATATTCGCTTGTAGATGCTAGGATGTATTATACGTTCAACATGGAAGTGTATACAGGAACCCAACCAGCTGGACCATACCAAGTGAGCAATAAATCTCTTGATGTTGTTGTCAGAATGACAGAGCCCATCCNTATACAAATTATTTTGTCTACAAACGTTGTTGAATTTAATTTTTTATTTTTATATTTCATCTATCAGATATGTGAACTTAGTTTTGCTCAAATTGTATTTTTAGGTATTTGTGTTTTTGAATAATTGTTTCTTTCCTTTTTTTCTCTGAAGTGCTATAGATACCAGATTTTTCAACAAGCTTTGTCAATAAGATTGTATTTTCTTGGACAATAAAGTATATGACTATCTATCTATCTATCTATCTATCTATCTATCTATCTATCTTCTATAGATACTTTAACGGAAGGTGTTCAAGTGTCTTGGCATATTTCATTCCTCCAAGAGCGGTGCAGATCAGAAATACGCGACGGACTGCTCTCATCGTTTTGAAGTTGAACACAGTACACCTCAAAGTTCACTATTTAAGAACTCTTCCACCTGAAAAACTGCGTTTATGTGGAATAAACTTCCTGAGAACGTTTTTCCAAATGGATTCAATCTCCAGCGATTCAAATTCGATGTGAATCGCTACTTTCGCACAGGCACTGCTCTAAGAGCGCCTTAAGAATTTTCTGTAGTGATTGTGTTTTGTCCATAAAACAATTGAAGCACGTTCTTTCATCGCATAGTGGCCAACCGACTACCATCTTCTCAAGCAACTATCTCACCGGAAGAACCAATCAAGACAAGGCAAATACGGCCTTCGTCTACTTCATCGAATCCCGAGGACGCAATGTTTATGCTGGTGTTACATTGGCAAAAGTGCCTATTGCCTAAGCCAGGGGTCTCCAAACTACGGCCCGCGGGCCAAATTCGGCCCGCCAGTGTCATCAATCCGGCCCGCGACAGCCAATGATTTACTGTCATCAATCCGGCCCGCGACAGCCAATGATTTACTGTCATCAATCTGGCCCGCGACAGCCAATGATTACCTAATTGTTGTTACTATTGCTGTGATAAGTTGAAGAAGAAAACACAGAATGATAATTACTTGGTTCTATTTACTTGCAAGGTAAAACTTAACTTAAGTATCTAAGTTTAAGCATATTAATAACTAACAAATAATTGAAATGAATCACAGTAAACTAACTAACAAATAATTGAAATGAATCACAGTAAAACAAAAACACTAATGAGATTTATGTAATTGTGATTTTCCACCGACAATACTTTGTAGTTGTGGATCAATTTTACTTGTACCAATTATCAAAAGA